TCTCTCTCTCTCTCTCTCTCTCTCTCTCTCTCTCTGTGTGTGTGTGTGTGTGTGTGTGTGTGTGTGTGTGTGTGTGTGTTGTTGTGTTCTCCTATTCTTTGATGTGCGCAGCCCTTTCCTGTTGCTGCACCCCCCTGCAGGTGTGGATGCACAAGGCTTAACCCAGGATATGATTAGCGCACTTCATGCGCGGGGAGAAGATAACCTGAAACTGTATTATAAGGATGATATTCCCGGTTCATGGCATTACCGAAACAATCGACTTATTGCTCCCATTGTGGGTGTGGCTGCGGACGGGTACTCGATGCGAATATCTCGCAACGAGAGCCAATTAAGTGGACAGCATGGGTATGTGCCGACTTTGGGAATGATGCACCCAATCTTTGTAGCGAGAGGACCGCGATTCCAGGAGGCGCGGAAGGTTCCCAGCTTCAGGAACACAGAGGTGTATGGGTTGATTTGCGACATTTTGGGTATAGACCCATTGCCTAATAATGGTACGCCGGGCTTTGCAAAAAGTATCTTGCTGCCAGTATAGCAATGACTGCAAAGATGACAGGGGGGGGAGGGGGGAGGGGGGAGGGGGGGAATTACTAAATGCAGATTATGGAATTGAAAGGGATGGCATGGACGGAAGGGAGCCTAGAGAACGAAACCGGAGATCAAGACCAGAGTGGACGTGAGGACAACAAAAGCTCGAGCGATACTGAGGGGGGAAGGGGTGGGGGGGAGGAAAGCACATAGAAAAATGCGAGGGGAGAAAGAGGAGGAGGAGGAGGATGGAAGGACGCGTAAAGAACGAAACCAGGGCGAATGTGACAACAACAAAAGCAAGAGCGGTCCTGGGGGGGGAGGGGAGGACATGGCAATATGAGATCGGGGAAAGAGGAGGAGGAGGAGGTGGAGGAGGAGGATAGCCTAGAGAACAAGACCTCAGCAGACGTGAGGCGAACAAAAGCAAGAGCAAGTACTGGGGCGAAAGGGGGTGGAAGGGGGGGGGGAGAGGGGGGGAAGCAGGCGGGTAACTCGGGAAAATGAGAGCGGGAAAACAAGAGGAATATAAAGAAAGGACGGACAGAAGGACGGACAAAAGGATGGATGGAAGGATTCCAGGCATGTATGTGCATAGAAGGAGAGCACATGGAAATATGATATGGGGGAAAGAGGAGGAGGAGGAGGTGGAAGGAAGGAAGCGTAGAGAATGAATCCGGAGAACAAGACCAGAGTGGACGTGAGGTGAACAAAAACAAGACCACAGCGGACTCGGGAGAGGAGGAAGATAAAGAAAGGTGCGGATGGATGGGTGGATGGGTGGATGGGTGGATGGATGGATGGATTGATTGATTGATAGAAGGGATTCGAGGCAAAGATGTGCATAGAAGGAGAGGTGCGTCCGGAAAAAGGGGGGGGGGGCGGAAACGAAAGGTGGACAGCAGGAGGGGCAGACTGGAGGAAGGAAGACGAGAGGAAGAGAGGAAGGAAGAGAGAGAGCAGAGCGAAGGACAAAGAAGAGAGTCAATAGGCGCGAAAGTGAAACGGAAGACCTGGGGGAAGGAGGAGCGAAGAAAGGAAGAATGCAAAAAGCTTAGATCAAAGAAAGAAAGCCTGCGGCAGAGGTAAGGAAATGGAGCCGCAGAGGGGATAAAAGGAATAAAGGCTTAATTAATGAGGCCTCTTAGGAAGGTGGGTGCAACGAGGTAGGTACAGAGCGAGGTAGGAACGGAGGAAGGATGGAAAGAGTGGAGGGAGGGAGGAGAGTAGAGAGGAGAGTTGGAAATGATAGAAAAAGTGAGTAGACAGAAAAGCATAGCAAGTACGAAAGGATAAGTGAATAGAAGGGAGCAAGAACAAAAGGGAAGAAGGATGAATGAAGGGGGGTGAATGAAAGGGGATGAGTTAAGGGGGGTGAATGAATGAAGGAAGTGAATGAATGAAGGGGGGTGAGTGAACGGGGCCGAGGGAACGGGGGCGAATGAGAGGGGGGTGAACGAAGGGGGGTGAGTGAAAGGGAGGTGAATGAAGGGGGATGAAAATGAATCAAGGGGAAGGATAAAATGAAAGGGGATGGATGAAGGGATAAGAAGGTTAGGAAAAAAGGGAGGGAGGGAGGGTAAGAGAAAGTGTGAAGGAAAGCGCAGAGGGGAAGAGAGGTAGCAAAAGAAGTGCGAGGAAGCAAGAGCGCCACTGAGCCCAACCTTCTTTTTTTTCCTGATTACCAGCTGAATATGGTGGGCACCCTCAGATCCAGATTTTGAGCAGGTGATGATGTACAGAATTCAAATCATTTTTCTTGTTTTCGGTTTTATATGAGAGAGAAGGGTGAGAAGCACAATAATGTGGCACATCCTTGCTCGTGTGTGTGTGTGTGTGGGTGTGTGGGTGTGGGTGTGTGGGTGTGCACGCTTTCCTCTTCGCTATACACAACTCCACAAAAAAAGCATGACTATGCCGGCCTATTTTGTGAGACTTTCACCGACTCATCAGGAGGTGGGTATGTGTGCGTGTGTGTGTGTGTATGTGTGTGTGTGTGTGTGTGTGTGTGTGTGTGTGTGTGTGAAGAGAGAGAGGGAGAGGGGGAGACGGACAGAGACAGAGAGAGAGAGAGGGAAAGGAAGAGAAATGGTTTGTTTTATCTCGAATGTTTTCTTCTTCTTCTCCTTGTTGTTATACTTTTTCGGGGCCAACGGTAAAAACGCTCCGGCATCTCCAAAGATGCCTGGATTGATGACGACGGAGGAGGGAATGTGGATGGGCAGACGACGGTTTTTTTTTTTGTTTTTTTGTTTTTTTTTTGGAAACAAGCTCCATCTATTGGTGGGGAGCAGCACCTGCTGGAAACCGGGTCCAACATCCCATAGATACAACCATATCCTCAGTAATTGGCACAAGCTGGGAACCAGGCCCAGCGTCCCATAACGAGTACGTTCAGAAAACTTCAGAAAACTTCAGAAAACTTCATCAGACAATTTCAAGAAAATAGACCAGGAACTACTAGAAAACTTCAATTGGCCTAAGGATGGAGTTTGGAAAATTGAGATACCGGGACCATTACCCGGCTTTAGCTCAGAACTATTGGAGCTACTTCAGACATGTCAATGACAACTTCATGAAAACTTCAGAAACGACTCGGAAAAAGCCCCATCGATCCGCTTTGCCTCACTCCGGCAAGACTGACTGTAGCGGAGCCACCATCTCTACTGCTGCTATGCCATACTCCCATCCTACCAGCTAGCCCGCTCACTGGTAGGACGCGTACGTACTGTAGTGCGAGGGAGAAGTGTAGTGGAACCCCCCTGAGCATGACCGCATGGCGGCAGTTGAAACCGGTCGGGGAGCCAAGCCCACGGGGAGTACTTTGTAATCATTACTTGTTTCACTTTTGTGATCCTCACGCCAGTTGAGTTGAATGTGTATTGTGCACTTTCTCCTAGACTTGCATTGAGTTGAATCTATATTGTGCTGTCACTTCGACCTTCGCACCAGCCTCATGTGTGAACTTGAAGAATTGAATGAGCACCTTATGGACGGCCCGCGGCACCGGCCCTTGTTTGTGAAGCTTCAAGAAGCACGGGACCACCTCCAAGCCTACATTGAACAGCAAGCGCAGGCCTGGAGGGTGCAGGCAGAAATTAAGGGGGCACATACAGAAGGGACAATGGCAAGATCCTTCTTTAATAAAGCAAGGGCCAGCTCTAGGGCCAACACCGTCCCCAGACTTAGACACCCGCTCGACGAATCAGCCTAGGCTGCAACCAACGCCTATACCATAGCAGATTATGCGGCTCAAAACTATCGCAACCTATTCACATCCCAGACGCCCAATAACCCCCCCACATGAGATCCACAGTGCAAGGGAAAAGCTATTGGAGGCTGTGTTCACTCACGCTTGGCAAATGCACAAAAAGGCGAGTTGGATAAGTCCCTCTCCTCCCAAGACGTTTAGGAGGCCTTGCAGGATATGGAAGATGGAAAGACCTTCGGGATTGACTCATTCCCAAAGGAATTCTGGGTGCAGTTTTGGGACCTCCTCTAGAATGACCTCATGGACTACATTCGGGCGGTATAGAAGGAGGGGTCATTTGGGGGTATGATTGGGCAAGGGATCCCCACACTCCTCCATAGGAAAGGGGACAAGGAGGATATTAGAAACTATAGACCTATAACTCTCCTCCCTGTGCCTTACAGGATGGCGGCCAAGGCACTAACCAAGAAACTATTGTCATTGATGAACGTACTGATTCACCCCGACCAGACAGGATTCATGCCAAACCGCAACATCCAAGACAACATTTTACTAGTTAACGAGACCATTAAATACGCCCGCACATGAAAGGCCCAAGCGACCATCCTGTTTATTGACTTTGAGAAAGCGTATGACCATGTTGATTGGGACTTCCTGGACATGTGTGTGGTCAAGATGAATTTCGGCTAGGCATTCTGCCACTGGGTGAGCCGCCTCCATAGATCAGCTCAATGACCACCTATCACGGCCAATACACCTACAAAGATCGGTGCGACAAGGGGACCACATAGCACCGCTTCTATTCGTAATATTAATGGAGGTTCTGGCCTCGCTGATCAGACCTCACCCTCAAATTAGCAAAGTGCCTATCCCCGATATCCCCACCCACCTCATCCCGACAACTTCACTATTCGCGGATGACCTCACAGTGCTCATACAAACATACCCTGATAACCTTCGTGCCCTGACACAAGTCTTTCACTTATTTTCAATAGCAGTTGACATCAAAATCAATTGGGGCTCCAAGATAGAAGGATGGCAGCTCCACCCTCAGGGAGAACCCCCGCCCTTCATTCGACTGTTGGATGGGCACGGAAGGAAGATGCCATCAGAATCCTTGGGGTGAGACTTACTGCGTTGGGGCCTCCACATGACCACAGGGATATGTTAGTCAACATGGCGGTAGATCGACTGACAAAATGGGAGGGGTTACACACTTCGCTGGTGGGGCGGGCCCTGGCAATAAACAATGCAATACTCGCAATCATTCAGTACAAACCGGTTGTCTGGTCGGTTGAGAAAAGTGTTGGCCACGTATCTATGGAAGAATAGTGCCAAGGACCAGGGGTGTGTGCATCCAAACCCTCGCCTAACCAAGGTCCAAAGGGGGGTTGGGGATATTGGATCTAAAGAAGGAGAGTGAAGCCTTGACCTTCAAGGTTCTGATTAGACCACTCATAGGGAACGACATTCCATGGCCCCTCTGGCTTGCCTACAGATTGCCAACCTGGCCTCCGAATCGCTAACAAGCATTAGTCGATATCCGCCCCCTTGCGACAAACGCAGGCGGACACCACAGCACGAGCAGCGAAAATGGACCTGCTCCTGGGCCCCCTGTGACCCTATATGCTAAAACTGTGGAGGGCACGTGGTCCACAGCAAAAACAGCCCCCCAAGAGATGGCACAACATATGGAGACAGCCGCTCTAAATTTTTTGATGAAATTCGCACCGCAATTGCCAACGCAAACGGCGAATAATTGGCCCCCCGTTAACCATCTCTCGTAACCGTCTCTCGTCCCCCACCGTAAAAATGCCTTTTTTTGCCCAAGTAAGCTAGGGTGAGTATGTTGATAACGAGAAGGGACCACCGTCCTCGTCTAGTACGTCCCCTACGTACTAAACGAGGACGGTGGTCCCTTCTCGTTATCAACAAACTCACCCTAGCTTACTTGGGCAAAAAAAGGCATTTTTACGGTGGGGAACATGTGGGACCTGCACAAAGGAGACTGGCCCACGACAGATGAGCTTCATCTCAAGCTGAAATATGGACAAAGTTGTCAAACTGAGGGAGGCTCTCCCCTTAATGTGGCGGCCGGCCCTCAAGGAGGGTCTCACAGTTTGCCATGATGACTGGGTGATTAGGCACGCAAACCTGCCCCTCCCGCTCACAGTATTTAGGGTCTAACGAAACAAGGACGGGTTGTGCTCACTGGAAGCCTATGAGCC